AAAATTAGAGTGGCAAAGACAGGAAATAATAGGCATCCAATACAAAAAGTTCAGAAAATTAAGAAAAAGATAAAAAATAATGATGGCCTATAATTTGATAACTTGGAGAAAATCACTGTTAAAATTTCCGTGTATGTATTTGCATGCTTTTCTATGAAAATCTACATATATAGATAAATTTTAGAACAATGGAATATGTATGCATAAAAATACATATATAGAGACACATATATACACATATTAATTTATTCTGAAAATCCTTCCACATAAAAAAATAAATGGCATCGTCATCATTTTTATGACTATGCAGTGTTCTATTATAGCACAGTTCACACACCCAATCTCTTACCAATGGACTTTTCTCAGTTGTTCACTATTATAAACAATGTTCCAATTACTTACATCATAGGTATATTTTTGCAAACTTGTTGCATTCTTTCCCAGTAGCAGACTTGCTAGGTCAAAGGCATATACTTTTCAAAATACTTTACAGAAATGTTAGTAAACTGTCTTCTAGAAGTGCCATGCCAATTAACATTAGGGTGTGCATGTCCATTTCCCTATATCCTTTTATGTCTTTGGCCAACTGTGCAGTAGAAAAAACTATCTTTGCATTGCTTTGGTTACAAGTGAAGTTGAATATCTTTTCATGTTTACCAGCCATTTTGAGATGTATTTCCTTCCTTTTCAGAGTGTTCATCTTTATTTTCTTGTTGATTTGTAAGAACTCTATATTCTGGATTCCTACCCTTGCCATATGTGTTGCTACTGAGGTAACATTTAAGAGAAGATTGGGGCGCCTGGGTGGCTCAGTCGTTAAGCATCTGCCTTCAGCTCAGGTCAGGATCCCAGGGTCCTGGAATCGAGCCCCGCATCGGGCTCCCTGCTCAGCGGGAAGCCTGCTTCTCCCTCTCTCACTCCCCCTGCCTGTGTTCCCTCTCTCGCTGTGTCTCTCTCTGTCAAATAAATAAATAAAATCTTTAAAAAAAGAGAGAGAGAGAGAAGATTAAAACTAAATGTAACGATAAGGCAAGAAAATATTTTAACTAGTAAAATAAAAAAATAAGGAAAATGTTACTTTTAAAAGCGAGAGGATAAGAAATTCAGGTGAGACAAAATAAAGCCCAGATAGAAATAGGAAACTTTAAGGTAAAGAAATAGAAAAATAAAAATAACTAGTACCAGTCAAATCAAAGCAAAATTCTAGAACAATGCCTACATTCTAATTTGTATAATATAAACTGCCCATAAATTTTTTTAAAAAAATTCAGGGGTGCAGAGGACAATATGACTTATCACAGGTAAGCCAGGGACAGTGCCAGGGACCTTTAATCACGGTGTCTGCAGAGACCTACACAGTAGATCAAAATGGGGAATAGTATCCAAATCCTTCACAGTACTCTATATGCATGTTCAGGCCATTAGCAAATCCTCCTGAGGAGGCCAAATCCATTTAAAGTGACTTTTAAGAAGGGCAACAGATAAAAAGGTAGGCAAGGAAAGAATTACAAAAACAGGATGAAGTCGTGATGAAAGCAGGTTAATCTGTCATTTTAATTGCATTGTCTCTTCTTTTTGTTCACTAATTAGATCAAGAAGCTATTAGAGTTACAGATGCTAAAAGGTGACTCTTCTGGAAGAAACTTTAACAAGGGGACGTCTTACCCCACCTACTCCAGGTTTCACATAATCAGAGGGGGAGATGAACCATGAGAGGCTATGGACTCTGAGAAACAAACTGAGGGTTCTAGAGGGGAGGGGGGAGGGGGATGGGTTAGCCTGGTGATGGGTATTAAAGAGGGCACGGTCTGCATGGAGCACTGGGTGTTATATGCAAACAATGAATCATGGAACACTACATCAAAAACTAAAGATGTAATGTATGGTGATTAACATAAAAAAAAAGAAAAATTGAGTCTAATGTGGGATACCAAGGAGGTCCATATCTTAAGAGTAGTTTTTCTGAGATTACATGACAGTTTATCTTTAAAAAGGAAGAAAGTATGCATAAACCGCTTCCATGCCCATTTAGTCTTCACAAAGTAGTATGAGATCAGTTTTACTATTTCCCTGTTTTATGTATGAGAACACAAAGGTCCACAAAGACTAAGTGATTTGAGTCATCAAGATGCTCCCAGTGTGTGCTAAGGAGCTGGACTCAGAAACACTGCTATCCAATAGAAATGTAATGTGAGCCACATATGCTATTTAAGATTCTCTAGTAGTGGGGTTCCTGGGTGGCTCAGTCAGCTAAGTGTCTGACTCTTGGTTTTGGCTCAGGTCATGAGCTCAGAGTTCTGGGATCCAGCCCCACCTTGGGCCCCCATGCCTTGGGCCTCTGGTCTCAGGCCTCTGCCCAGCCACGTACCCTGCACTCTGCAGGGAGTCTGCTTGTGACTTTCTCTCCTTCTCCCTCTGCCCTTCCCTCTGCATGTACTCTCTCTCAAATAAATACATAAATCTTTTTTTTTAAAGGGCAGATGTAATTTCTTTTTTTTTTTAATGTTTTATTTATTTATTCATGAGAGTCAGAGAGAGAGAGAGAGAGAGGCAGAGGCAGAGGCAGAGGGAGAAGCAGGCTCCCCGCCTAGCAGGGAGCCCGATGCGAGACTCGATCCCAGGACCCTGGGATCATGACCTGAGCCGAAGGCAGACGCTTAACCATCTGAGCCACCCAGGCGCCCCAAAATAAATACATAAATCTTTAAGAAAATTCTCTAGTAGCTCATTTAAAAATAAAAATAAATATGTGAAGTAAAATTTAATAATATGTTTTATGGAGCACAATACATTCAGACTATTATCATCTTAACATGTAATCAATATAAAAATTAATTACATGCTTTACATTTCTTTTTTTATGCTAAATATTTGAAATCCAATGTGTTTTTTACATTTACAGCATACCTTAATTTGCACCAGCCCCATTTCAAATACACAAGTACATTTCAAGTACTTAACAGCCACCTGTAGCAAGTCGTTGCCACATTAGCCTAGTTCTAGAACAGTGGTTCTCAAGAAGTGGTACCCAGACCAGCAGCAGCAGAATCACCAGGGAACTCTTAGAAGAACAGATTCTTGGGCCCCATTCCAAACCTACTGAATCAGACCCTGTGGGATTGGAGAACACCAATCTGTATTTTAACAAGTCCCTTCTGGTAATTCTGAAAGATGCTAAGGTTTGAGAACCATTACTCTAGACAGTTGCCTCTGCATCCCAATTCAAATCTAGGACAGCCATGTCAGGCTACTACTAAGGAAGAGGGGCCCCTTCTCTTGAGATCAACAATTCTTGGCTAGATGAAGTTGGTATTCTCTTGTATGGAAATCCTCTAGTGCTTGTTGTGGTTCCATTTCTTGGGACTGTGGAATGAATTACCAGACACATAATTTAAACATGGTTTCATTTATCACTTTGTTTAAGGAGGAAACAACACCCCACAGTAACTACCCTATGCTATCACCTTGAATTTAGTTACTAAGTTCTCTTGTCCTCACTTTCCTCATCCATAAAATGGGGATCCTTTAATAAATGTTGGCAATTTTTAAAACAATTTTTATTTACTTTTTTTAGTAATCTCTACACCCAGTGTTGGGCTCGAACTCACGACCGCCAATCAAGAGTAACGGGTTCTTCTGACCAAGCCAGCCACGCACCCGGGCAACTTTTTTCAAAGTACTGTGTACAAAAAGAAGTCAGCAAAAGCAACTGATATTTTATCTAAAACTAATGATGTAATGTATGGGGATTAACATAAGAATAAAAAAAATAAATAAATAAAAAATTTTTAAAAAGCAACTGATATTTTTAAACAACATTAAAAAAAAAAAACTAGTGGGCAGGAAAGGTAATACAGATTTTGAGCATAGAAGCAGAAGCTAATTCACTTCTATTTCTCAGAACATTAGATTTGCTGAGGGGGGAGGGTAAGGTTCTTGCCAAAATCACTAAGGGGAATGAATCTGAGCATGCCTTAAAGGAGAATTTTCAGTAAACAGGAATTAACTATAAAGAAAATCAGGAAGCCAAAGTGTTTCTTTTTATGAAGTTACATCCTGCCATAGAAAAGCTGGATAGGAAATAAAGACTGATGCACTCCCAACTATATACTAAACTGGCTATTATTTCATCAAGGAAAATCTGAGCAAAAGCTCAGATTCGATGAAGGAAAAAAAACATGAGGAGGCTAAATGTCACGAGAAACCAAAGACAACCAATAGCTACAATTAAACATGATTTGGGGAAAATCTATACAAACAAATCTCTACTCTGTGATTTCAGATTCCTAAGTTGCCACCTGCCCTCTCCACCCCTCCCCCTATTTCAGTAATACTTCCTCCAGACTTCTGCTTGAAAATAAATATGTGTGTGTCCACGAAAATAGGATACTAATAGATTAATCTTAATTTCCTCCTTCTCCCCCTTCCTCCTTCTCTTTATTAATATTAATTGTGAGTTTCCAGGGTTCTCCTGGTTTTTCCAAGTTTCGGTGATGGAATTCTACCTTGCTCCGCACTCTTCGGTTTGATCAGCGAAAACGTTTTCGTTGGCCAATTTATCCTCCCACCTTCAAATGAAAAGACACCAGAAAGGCAAGATAGCCCTTTCTCCAGGCAGGTTCCCATGGTTTGGGGGGAATGGCAGATGTCTTTCTGCAGTGGCAGCTGCAACCTCCCGCAAAGCCGAAACTGCAGCTCACACTCTCCCCTTCTTCCCCCGCCCAAACCCACTACCTCGCAAGTCCACACAATCCTTAAAAGCACACACACAACTCCTCCAACCTCGCATCCCCTCTCACAACCCACACGGCACGCACGCCAGGATGCCTGCTGCCACAGTAACGCTCAACCCACTCGGTGGCCCCACCCCTTTCAGCCCCGCCCCCGCCCCAGACACCAATGGTCGCCGCCCGCAACTCCCGACGGATGCGTTGATAGGTCAGCGGGGCCTGCCACTCTCAGCGTGCGTCCCGCCCCGGCCTCGCTCGGGGCTGGGGCTGGAGGGGCCGGAGCATCAGCGTGAGTAGCTGGGAGCAGCCGCGGCGGCGGCGGCGCGTTGTTGCAGTTGCGCCATCTGTCAGGAGCGGAGCCGGCGGGGAGGGGGCTGCCGCGGGAGAGGAGGAGGGGTCGTCGTGACCGAAGGCCGCCGAGACTCGCCCGCCGGCCGGCCGCAAAAGCAGAGGCAGAGTACCCTCCGAGCCGCGCGTTCTCTCCCGTCCGGGCGCACGGCGCTTCAGCCAGCGCACCGAGAGCTCTCCGGGCGCACACAAAGCCGCCGCCCGCGCCGCACCGCCCGGCGGCCGCCGTCCGCGCCTGGGAAGGATCCGGCCGCCGGGCCGGGGACACCCGGCGCCGCCCCCTCGGCGCTCTCGGAAGGCCCACCGGCTCCCGGGCCCGGCGAGGAGCCACCGGAGCCGCCTCGGCCGCGCCGGAGAAGGGCGGGGAGAAGACCATGTGAATGGGCTCCGGAGCCTGAGCGCCGCGCAGGTAAGCGGCTGAGGATGCGCGGCGGGAGGGCCGTGGGGATGCTGCGGAGACGCCAGCCACCGGCGCCCCCGCGCTGCGCCGCCCCCGCCGCGGGGCCCCGCGCTGCAGGCTCCCGGCCGCCGCCGCCTCCGGGGCGCCCCGCGGGGCTGCCGAGGAGTTGGCCCCGCTCGGAGTCTTCCCGCGGCCGCGCCGGAGGACACCTCTGCGGGGTGCGGCCCTGAGGTGGCGCAGGGATGGGGGCCCATTTCCTCGCCTGCGAGCGGGCGCGGGGTGAGAATAGGAATTGGCTGGGGGGGCGAGGCTGGCCCAGACTCCACCCTCGCCCTCCTTTCGGGGGCCCCCCACGGGGACTCGGTCTGTGTGTGTTGTTTTAATGTCAGGGATGATGTAATCACTTAATAATTGATGCCCCGTGCTGCTTCCCTCCCCACCCCATCCCATCCCATCCCACCCCACCCCACCCCTGCCCCACTCCTCCACCTCTCGGCCTCCTCCTGCGGTCGTCGCTTTCCTCAGCGCATCCTCCTGCCTATTTCTGGCACCTCCCTAGCACTTCCCCCATCCTCCCCTTCACTCTTCCTGTGCCGCCACCCACCCAACCTTCCCCTGTCCCCCGTGCTGGAGCCTTCGCTCTTCTTCCTCTGCCTCCCCACCCCTTCTGCTCCCTCAAGCTCCTTTCTCCTCCCTTCCCTGCTCGCTGGATTTCCTCTCTACTTCCCCAGATCGATGACTGTTTTTTTTTTTTTTTTTTTTTTTTTGCTTTTTTTTTTGGTCGCCTCCCCTCTCTTATCTCTGCGGCCACAGGCAGAGGGGACTGGGCCAGAAAGAGGCCACCGAGGTTGGGCCCAGGCAGAGATTTGCTGGGACTCATGAGAAGAAGGATAATAAAATCACCCTTCTTTCCCCTCCTCCCCTTAATAAATCACACAGACTTGCCGGGTGTGTGTGTGTGTGTATGTGTGTGTGTGTGTGTGACACAAAGAGCCCTTTCAGTGCATAGAGAGGAGACGCACAAAGTACCCAAGGATGGACACGATGATTCTTATTTCTCTTCACTGGGGCTTCCCTTTCTCTCAGATAAAGCCGTTGATTTTCTCTCTGAGAGTCTTTCCTGCCACATTTACCAAAAAATAAAAGGCCCCAGATGCTGCGGGGTGGCAGGTGCTGTCATTTTGCTGTATTCCTGGACCCAGTAGTGTTGACTGGCAGCTGCAGTATTTCTTCGATTTAAGGGGGAAATGATTCCAGCAGTCTTAAGAGTTGCTTTACTAGCAAGGTAGCCCTCCTCTGCCTTGTTTTAACCTCCTCTCTTTTGGGGATAGGTACTAAAGAGCTGGGGGAGGATACATTGGTGTGGGGGCAGAAGAATTTTGCTTTGGAATCAGAATATTAAATTGGTGTTTGGTAAGAGTGAGGCAGCCAGACTTCTCTGAAGTCTAAGAAGTGCAAAAGTATTGAAATGCAATTTTGTCTGCCCAGTGGTGGTGTTTTACCCTTATATTTAAACAAGTTTTAGGGGGCATCAAAACCAGAATAAATTGGTATTTGGAAGACCAGGGAAGACTATGTGTCTTCCCCGCTTCAGGGTAGCCTTCAGACACCCACATCCTTCCTCTTACCACCCAAGCCATGGTAATACTTTCCACCCTTTGTGCTCTTTCTCCTGAGTCCTGGTCCCATGGGTACTGTGCTTGCAGATGAAGGGACTCAGACTTTTGGAGGAAGTGGTTTGTTAACTATCTCAGGTTTGGGGGCACTTAACTACGAGCAAAGAATGTAGAGAATCTTCTGACAGAACTTTGAACCATCTGTTTGGTGTTCCTTCTAAAGAGGAAATGTTAATGTAAATTTAGAGGCTTAAAGGTCCATTTTGTATGCCAGTGACTATTATATGCTTAATTGATAATGTGAAAACTTTGAAACCATTGATTCCTAAGAGCATGGTTCCTTGACGGTTGTAATAGATCTGTCTCAAGTTTGTTCTTCAAGAATTTTATTAGAAAAGAGTTATTATTCATTAAACATTTACTTCTGCACTTTCTAAGGACATTCATCGTAGAACTTTTTACATTAAAAAAAAAAGCAATGGGGTTAATGAGTGTACTGTAAAAACAAAGGGTTGTTTGTTTGATGCCAGACCCAGGAAGGAAAGTCAGTGCACAATAAGCTCACACTGTGTTGACCAAGCTAAAGAGACTTAATGATAAGGTTGAATGTGAACAAATGCACGCTCTGCTTTCTGTACTTTATGCTTTGTGCTGGGTCTGGACTCTCCAATCCCATCTGATTTTCTTGGGTTCTATTTAACCTTTAGGGCTCAGCTCAAAAGTCTTTGATGCTTTCTCCATCCTCCCCTCCAAACAAATCACCACACCTCCAATTTTGTTTTCAGACTTCAGCAGCAGGCATTATGTTTGGCATGTCTCTGTCTCCATCATTAGCCAGTCAGCACATTGAGAGAAGGAACCTGGTCTTACTTAATCCTGTTTCAATAAATGTGAGTTAAGTCTTTGGTATGTGCCAGGCACCTGGATTCATTAAGCTCATGTTAGCAGCTATAACAAATAGGCCTGCAAAAATGTAATGGCTCAAAAGCATTAGATGTTTATTATTACTCATGTAGTAGTCCACTTTTTAAATGCCTTGGCCTGGAAATGACACCCATCACTTCTACTCACATCCTATACATGAGGGCTAGTTATATGGCCACATTTAACTGCAGGGGAGCCTGGGAAATATAGGTTAGCCACTTGACTAAGAGAAAAAATCAAGAAGAAATGTATTTTGGGCCCCCAGCTTTGCCATATGTTGCCACTCAACAAGGCACAGTCATTGCCCTCAGGGAGTTTGCAGGCTGATGAGAATTAAAATATATGGAAACTGGAGCCTGTACCCATCATTGCTTTTATTCTTTTGGTTTCTTGAGTTGAGATCTTTTTATTTTAAACGTGTTTCGAAGAACTTTGCTTTTTGTCAGTTCAAGTAGCTAGTTCCCACTCAGTGATTACTTTCAATACAGTGATCTTAGGCTTCCAGTGTTGACTTTGATATGGTTCTTTTACTCCAGGAGCATCTTTCTTGGCCCAGTTTTTTATTTGCTGATTTAAAGACTCCCAAAGTGTGTAGGAGGGTCCTTAGAAATCACAGTTCTACCTTGTCTTAATTGAAAGAGGAAAGCAGATTGCAGAGGAGAAATTTCTTGCCTAGGACCATGCTAATGGGAAGGGAGCCCTGGTAGGCCCAGCTCTCCATCCTGCCTGGCTCCCCTTCACCACACAGCTGCCCTGACTTGGTGACTGTGAGCCCTGCCTTGCGTATTCCATGGAGGTTAAGTGAGCTTCCAGACCTCCAGGAGCAGGGCAAACTGCTAAGTGTTCTGGATAGTCTCTGTTCTCCACAGGCCTCCAAACTGTTGGAGCAATGCAGTCCATACTAGTCATCATACTTAATAATGCACGTAGTTTTGCTACAGACATTTCATTATATTCATCTGATCTGCAGACATTAGCCAAGTGTGTTATTGTGTGCAAGGCACTGGGAGATAGGGTCATGAAAATGAATGCTTCTGTTGTCCTTGCTCTTCAAGGGCTCACAGTCCGCTAGAGGAGATAAAAATAAATAAATAATAGCTAACTTTTATTGAGCATTTACTATGTGTCAAGCAGTGTTGAAGTTCTAGTCTTAATAAAAACGATATGAAGTGGTTTTGGTTATCTTCATTTTACAGATGGAAAATTGAAGCAGGGGAGGTTAAGTAACTAACTCAAGATCATATAGTTATTGGGTGGTAGAGTCACAATTCGGGCCCAGTTAGTTTGGTTTCAGAGCCCTTGCTCTTAGGCAATATGCAAAATACTATGTACGGATATAATGATATTAATTAAAATATGCCATATGGGCGGATGACTAAATGCTTTGGAAATTGATACTTCTAATTGTTGTGAAGCAACTTCATATTTAAATAAAAATAACATTAAAAATGGGAAAGCAAAGCATGTTGATGGGGAAATACTTCTACTCTCTGTGATTTCCATTTTAAGCTGGGTCCTTCTGTGGGCCACAGACAGGTCTGTGTTTGTGAATTGTCCTATGTATTTACTCATTCAGCAGCATTCATTCATAGTATCCACCATGCCAGACATTGAACTGAATGCTTCAGGGGCAGAGGTGTGATCCTGCCCCAAGGAACTTACCTGGATAAAGGAAGTCTCTGACCACCGTGATTCGAGAGGTCCTCACAAGAGCAAGAGATGGGAGCATGATCTCTGCAAAGAGGTGGGAAAGTGGGGCAGCCAGGCAGAAAAGGTTGGAGGAGGTGTCTTTGAGATGAAGAGTAGGAGTCAGCTAGTAGAGTGTTGTCAGAAGGCCATTGCCCCAGAAGGAGCAGCCTAGAAGGCAAATGCACAGACCTTTTGGGAAATTGCAAGTAGTTCAGAGTAGGTGGTGGTTGTAGAAAGATGGACAGAGGAAGAAGATGGGGCTAGAGGAAAAATTGAGAATGTTCTTGTAAGTACAGTTGACCTTTGAAAAACATGGGTTTGAACTGTGCAGTCCACTTACATGCATTTCTTTGATAAATACAGTACAGTATTGGAAATGTATTTTCCTTATGATTTTCTTAACATTTTTTCTCCAGCTTACTTTATTGTAAAAATGTAGTATATAATAGATATACAAAATATGTGTTAATCAACTCTTTATGTTATCAGCACCCTCAACAGTAGGCTATTAGTAGTTAAGTTTCAGGGGAGTCAAAAAATTATACACAGATTTTAGACTGCATGGGGATCAGCACCCCTAACCCCTGCATTGTTCAAGGGTCAGAATGGCAGAATGCCATGTAAGAGTTGTAAGTGGAAATGCTACTTTGATCTGATTTGTATTTTATAAAAGCATCTGGCCACCGTGTGGGCTGTTGACCAGAGGCAGTCAAGACCGATGCAGGGAAGGTAGTTATGGAAACTCAGATGAGCAATAGATGAAGGTCTGAATGGAAGGAA